CTGCTGTCCTTTGTTGTTGGGTTTCCAGCTGCGCAATCTTGAGCCCTGCATGCACTCTGTTGCAGGCGTGGCACGAGCAGCCCCGCAACACTTTACTGAGAAGATTCAACTGGCAAAGCTTTGGGCACATGAGGCAAGTCACAGTTTCCATGCTGTTCACTCAAACACACTGCGCCGTCTGGTTGGGCTCGGTGTGAGCTTAGACATCGGCTGAATTCCGGGTTGAGCACGTCCTCCACTATCAGTATCGCTCAATATCCAAAGATCCCCCAATTAGCGCCGCTGTCTTGAGGGTATTTCCTCGCAGAACAGAAACCCCATGCACACCCTGGATTCTGCCATTTTGCCGTGAATCCGGATGCTGGATCATGGGGTGCGCATCCGCGAAGCTAGAGCTCCACAAGACTCGTTGCAACAGACGTGCTGCTGCTGTTCCCTGCGACAGGCACTGCGGACCTTCGAAGACCGCATCATAACAGACGCAGGCGCTGGCGTTCCATGAGTCGGGTGAAGATTGGGCTCAGGATCTGGAAGAAGCAAAGACGAACAGCACCATTTCCAGCATCATCTTCGTCAGACTGCAGATTCGTGTTGGTTGGGATGCAAGACAAATCGAATTTGTTGCTAATGGAGTTGGCAATTAGACGTTGCATGTTTGGGAACTCTGCCATGTGCCGGGTAGGGTCTTGAGAGATGCACTTGCAACTCGTATTGAGCGAATCATCCAGACCTGTTGATGTTTCAAAGGCCTTCGATAATCTGGACTGCCGACGGTTGATATCGCATATTCACGACTTTGAATGCATGTCCCAAGAGTCAGCAGCCCACTTGAAGGACTTGCAGAGAATGCTTCCCGATCGCCGTTCGTCAGGTCAGCGTCGCTTTCGGGAAGTTCTCTCACAGCAGCTGCAGCTTGCACTGTTTTGTGCGATAGTTGGTATGCGGGTATAGTTTGCTTGGCAGCTGTTGTTCAGTTCGATGTGTCCAGCTTGAAACGTATGTGCTGCGTGCTTTTGGAATGCCACTCTGGGTGTCTGTGTTTCGGCTGGCTAGAATCCAGTTCTGCTGAAGGTGAACACTGTATCTCGGAAGCAGGATTGGGCCTGTGCCTGTAGCACATGTAGGTGAGATTCACCTTCCATTGCAGTAGGTGCTCTATACTGCAAGTGCACGGAAGCCGAGAGCAGGCCATACGTTGGAGCCACGGTCAACCACAATCCACAGCCCTTATGCGGCATGGAACGACCCTTTACCGACACCATTCTCCCTAAATCTCCCGACGCAACCTGAAACCCCGGCAAATCCGAAGCCGAAACCCGGAGTGAGCCTGAATCCCAAGATCCTTTAAGGGAGACCTACTTCAGCATGGAGCCAGCTTTGGAAGGTGCCGAGGGATTCTGAATTGCCAACTGGGTTACTTGGAGATCACATCCAGCGGTTTTTACAGTTGTTGTTCACATGTCGACTTGTGGAACTCAGGAGCACCAGGCTGTAGGTGTAGACCGAAGAAAGCACCTGCAGCTTGTTGCTGCATGTTTCCTATGGAGGTCTAGCAGCCGGACTCTGAATCGACCATTGTTGCTCTACACGGTTTCGTGCTGACTCTTTCGAAGCTGTGGCTAGTGCTTAAGACTGCTTCCGCTATTGCAGGACACTTCAGGGGCTGTTTGCTGCAAGCCTTGCTTTAAGTCATGCGCGTAGGCCTTGTAGCCTATACACCCATGCATTTTCGACCGGAAGCCCTGCACTAAATCACCAAGCCGCAATTCCTCGATGAAGGCCTCTCCTTCCGCTTGGACACGAGATCTGGGCGATACGTCGACTCAGACTGCCAGGTCAGTTCGCTTGTTTCTTGCAGTATGGGCCTTGTCGTTCTCAGCACCGGGCTGTGCTTGAATCTTGAATTGACTGACCTGACCTCTCCTGCATGGAAGCCCCATTGGAAATTGTTATGCAGCCGGGCCAGATTATCTGGAAAGGCACTTCAACGGAATAGCCTTGGGATTCCATGAAAGATTGCCAGGAAACCAGGCTTCTTGACAGCTTGACGGAATCTTGGATTGCAAAGTTGTTGCTGATTGTCGGCTTCGGCTGTGTCGGTTCTCTGCTTATACATCCTTGAGCATGGTACTGTGATCTTCCAAATTTTGTCACAGAGGCGGTTGGCAGGATCGAATACCTTCAAAGCATGACGGAATGTCTTCGAGGTCGTAGAGATGCACATTTCGCTACGCCCAGCAAATGCTACCAGGAAATATGTCATAAGTAGCAGTGCTGCTCATCGTGCTTAGGCATTCCTTAGCAACCTGTCCTTGCAAAGAACCCAGCAGACCCTGATCCTGCCCAAATATGTGATGTGCCAGACTAGGATACCTTTGCTGTCGCAGGCACGCGTAGACCCGTAAGACTTAAGAGGCCGCAGCAAGAGACATGTCCACTTGAGAACCGGGTTGACTGGTCAGAGTGCAAGCTCCGCTTGTGGCTCATGCTTATGCCATGC